ATATAAAAAGCATTATATATACATTTCATTACATTACATTAATTTAAGACAAACTCAAGTTAGAGAACGGAAATGAAAAATTCAGCAATTTTTTCATTTGTAAATGGGCATAACTCTAGAACAGTAATCAAAGTGCTTGTAAGGACTGAATGGTAAAGATTGCTTTAATTTATCAGTAGGAAATAAAATTGAATTGCATTGTATAAAGCATTGGTTGTAGTTGATTCAACTACCATTATGCACAAAGAAAGATAATTCCAATTTTCAAAGAAGACTTTACAATATTTTTAGAAATGAAGGGTAAAAATTGCTTTAATTTATCAGTAGAAGGTAAAATTAAACATTGCATTGTATAAAGCATTGATTGTAGTTGATTCAACTATAATCATGGACAAAGAAAGATAACTCCAATTTTAAAAAAATGCTTCGCTGGGGCGCAGCTTGATACGACCGCAGAGGTCGAACCCTGAACAGTTGGGGCAAGTATGGACACAACATTCAAGCTTGATACAGCTCTGAATTTGGATTGTTATTAAATATTTGACACAGCATAGGTTTCTGACACAGAAAGAATGTGGTCTAAGAACTTGAATTTTTTTAATTTACCTATTATGGTCCAATGTCCAAAATCAAAATACATGGTTAGATTCAGCATATCAAAGAACCGCATATATTCAATTTTTGTTAAAATCAAACAAAGTTTAATTTTGGACCCCAACTTGGACAAACTTGAAAACTGGGCCCATAATCAAAAATCTAAACACATGTTTAGATTCAGCATATCAAAGAACCCCAAGAATTCAATTTTTGCTAAAATCAAACTAAGTTTAATTTTGGACCCTTTGGACCTTAATGTAGACCAATTTAAAAAACGGGACTTAAAATTAAAAATCTAAATACACGGTTAGATTTGGAATATCAATTAACCCCAATAATTCAATTTTTGATGAAATCAAACAAAGTTTAATTTTGGACCCTTTTGACCTCAATATGAACCAATTTGATAGCAGGGCCCACAAATAAAAAATCTAAATTCATGGTTAGATTCAGCATATCAAAGAAACCCATATATTCAATTTTTGTTGAAATCTAAAAAAGTTTAATTTTGGACCCCAACTTGGACCAACTTGAAAACTGGGCCCATAATCAAAAATCTAAACACATGTTTAGATTCAGCATATCAAAGAACCCCAAGAATTCAATTTTTGTTAAAATCAAACTAAGTTTAATTTTGGACCCTTTGGACCTCAATGAAGACCAATTTAAAAAATGGGACCCAAATTAAACATCTAAAAACACGGTTAGATTTGGCATATCAAAGAACCCCAATAATTCAATTTTTGATGAAATCAAACAAAGTTTAATTTTGGACCCTTTTGACCTCAATATGAACCAATTTGATAGCGGGGCCTACAAATAAAAAATCTAAATACATGGTTAGATTCAGCATATCAAAGAACCTCATATATTCAATTTTTGTTGAAATCAAACAAAGTTTAATTTTGGACCCCAATTTGGACCAACTTGAAAACTGGGCCCATAATCAAAAATCTAAATACATGTTTAGATTCAGCATATCAAAGAACCCCATATATTCAATTTTTGTTGAAATCAAACAAAGTTTAAATACTGGACCCTATCTTGGACCAACTTGAAAACTGGGCCCATAATCAAAAATCTAAACACATGTGTAGATTCAGCATATCAAAGAACCCCAAGAATTCAATTTTTGTTAAAATCAAACTAAGTTTAATTTTGGACCCTTTGGACCTTAATGTAGACCAATTTAAAAATCAGGACCCAAAATTAAAAATCTAAATACACGGTTAGATTTGGAATATCAAAGAGCCCCAATAATTCAATTTTAGATGAAATCAAACAAAGTTTAATTTTGGACCCTTTTGACCTCAATATGAATCAATTTGATAACGGGGTCCACAAACAAAAAATCTAAATGCATGGTTAGATTCAGCATATCAAAGAACCCCATATATTCAATTTTTGTTGAAATCAAACAAAGTTTAGTTTTGGACCCCAATTTGGACCAACTTGAAAACTGGGCCAAAAATCAAAAATCTAAATACATGTTTAGATTCAGCATATCAAAGAACCTCATATATTCAATTTTTGCTAAAATCAAACAAAGTTTAATATTGGACCCTTTGGACCTTAATGTAGACTATTTTGAAAACTGGACCCAAAATTAAAAATCTAAATACACTGTTAGATTCGGCATAACAAATAAATAAATAAATGTGGTCAAAGATTTTACAAATCTAATGCGCCATACTGTGCATTTAAAGATTACTTCTTGAAATTTTTCAATATTTGAAATTTGAAAAAAAAATAATATTTGAAGAATAATTCTTTTTAATTTCTGAAATCTGAAATGAGAAAAAATTGACCCCCCCACAATTTCTTTTTATTCCCCCCCCCCCCTTTTTTTCCCCAAAAAATTCTTTCCCTCAAGATATGGTCATAATCTCAATTCAAATTTCCAATGGAGTTGGCAACCATAATTACCCATTTAAATTTACCATAGTGCTAACTTAATCTATTTTATAATAGAATTAAAAATATAGTGTCAAATCTTTCATATGGATTTTTTTGTAAAAAAAAATGATGCAACATTTTCAGATATTTTTACTGGTCTTCCTTTATAAATATGCATTTCTTTAAACATAATTTAAAAGCAGTGTAAGGGAAGTAACCAAAATGTTGTATTTGGATTACCTCCCTTACACTGTTTTAAATTATCTTTATTGTTCATTAACCATTACTTTATACATAATTTAAAAGCAGTGTAAGGGAGATAATTTCAATGATGTATTTGATTTATCTCCCTTACACTGCTTTAAATTATGTTTTGTACTAAAGTATTTGTCCATTAACCAGGACAACCTTGTTTTTCCCCCTTTTTTGCCCCTAATTCCTAAACGGTTTGAGCCATAACCCCCCAAAGCAAATCCTAACCATCCCTTTGTGGTATGGAAACTTGTAGTATAATTTCAGAGAGATCCATACACTGTTCCACAGTTATTGTCTGGAAACTAGAAAATGCTTATTTTTGGCCCCTTTTTGGCCCCTAATTCCTTACCTGTTGGTACCATAACCCCCAAAATCAATCCCAACCTTCCTTTTGTGGTATTTAACCTTATGGTAAAATTTCAAAAAGATCCATTCACTTAAACTAAAGTTAGAGTGCGAAAACCAATGTGTCTTCGGACGACGACGCCGGACGACGACGACGACGCCAATGTCATACCAATATACGACCACAAAATTTTTTTGCGGTCGTATAAAAATACCTGATATGTAGGGAAAAAAATGAAAAATTCATTTGTAAAGGGCATAACTCTAGAACGGTAAAAGTGACGCTACCAAAATTCAAACTTGATCTGTATTTTGTGGTAATAAGCATTGTGTATAAGTTTCAGAACATTTGGTTGAGACAAACTAAAGTTAGAACGGAAACCAGCTTTGGGACGTACGTACGGACGGACGGACATACGGACGGACGGACGTACGTACAGACGGACAAGGGTAAAACTTAATGCCCCCTTCGCTACGGCGGGGGCATCAATAGCCATTTCCATTCTCAATTTTATTAAGGGGCAATGACATCATTTAGGAGTCAATTGAGGATTTCAGCCAATTTTGACTTATTTGTAGATCTTGACTTAGTGATCATTTTGGCTTTTAAAGTTTCTTTCTATCTATTATAATTTTTAAGATATAAAGCAAAAATGCAAAAAATTGGTAAAAAAAATCATTAAAGAGCAATTACTCAAATAAGGAGTTGTCTGATGACTTCAGCTATTTTAACTTATTTGGAAAAGAGGGACGAAAGATACCAGAGGGACAGTCAAACTCATATATCGAAAACAAACTGACAACGCCATGGCCAAAAATAAAAAGACAAACAGACAAATAATAGTACAGATGACACAACATAGAAAATTAAAGACTAAGCAACATGAACCCCACCAAAAACTGGGGGTGATCTCAGGTGCTCCGGAAGGGTAAGCAGATCCTGCTCCACATGTGGCACCCGTCATGTTGCTTATGTTATTACAAATCTGGTAAAAAGTCTAATTCGGTAGGTCACATTAGTGAAAAGGGAAGGGTATTGTAGTTACGACATAAGGAACATATCCGATATCATCCGTGAAATGGTTATTCCATAACGGTCAACCAACTCGTGATGGCGTCCGTAGAATTTACCAAGGGATGATTTCAACTTCACCATTTGGAACTCTTGGTTTAATAGCTTCCTTGTGAGCAGCAATCCTCTATCAAGGAAATCATTATAGGAAATACAAGCCCGGGAATATCGTATCAATTGGGAGATATATACTCCGTATGCAGGCGCTACTGGAATGTTGCTACATAGAAATGGAAAGTTCACAACTGGGAAGCTGAAATCATCTCTTTTGTCGTAAAGTTTTGTTTTCAACCGACCCTCATTGTCGATTTCTAGATGTAAGTCAAGATATGAGGCAGACTTAACTGTATCTGTAGTATCCTTTATCTCTAGTTCGATGGGATAGATTCGTTCAAGTGTAGGTCTTGTCTTGATAATCCTTTTTTCTGATAAAAATTTCTCTATATCCATTATAGTTTTCAAAATAATAGACTAAAAATTTAAGGGCTATAACTCCTATTAAAAGTAGTCTGACAGTTTTGACGTAAAAGGATAGCAGGTAGATCTCAACATTCTCAACATTTCCGCCCCTATCAGATTTTCTCTATTCGTAGCAGTTTTCAAGATAATAGACAAAACTTGCATTTTACCCCTATATTCTATTTTTAGCCATGTCGACCATTTTGGTTGTCATTGGACTCATTTTTTAAACTAGATATCCCAATAATGATTCTGGACAACTCTGGCCCAGTAGTTTCAGAGAAGAGTTTTGTAAAGGTTAACAGACGAAGACGACAGATGCCAAGTGATGAGAAAATAATTTGACTTTTTTTTTCAAATGTGAAAACAAACATACCTGTGACACGATCATAAGTTTATTACTATATATGTGTACAAATCTGAGGAACATGGGATCCATAATGATTTGTATTGGTGCCATGGCTCTCATCACTCTCATGTCATATACCATTAGAAACCTATCAACTGTCATTTGGTTCTGTCTGAAAATATAAAGATAAATCGTACAAGTATCAAATCACAACATCTATCTACTACAAATCTGACCATAGACAAAGGACTTTTGGCACAATATGACTTGAATTTCAACTTTATCATAAAATATAACTAGAGGCTCTATAGAGCATGTGTTGCTCACCTGCATCATCAAAAATGGCCACTTTTGGTACTGACAATTTCAATCACGTTGAAGTATTTGTAGATCTTATCCTGCTGATAATTTTTATTTTTAAAATCTTTATTTATCTATTAAAGGTTTCAAGATAATAGGCAATAAAATACTTCGCTGAGCGCAGCCTGATACGACCGCAGTGGTCGGGCCCTGAACAGTTGGGGCAAATTTGGACACAATATTCAAGCTTGATACTATCTGAATTTGGATTGTAATCAAATTTTTGACATAATATAGGCTTCTGACACAAAATAAATGTGGTCAAAGATCTTACTAATCCAATGCGCAATACTATGCAATTGAAGATTTCTTCTTGAAACTTTTCAAAAATTTGAAATTTTGAAAATTTTGAGAAAAAAAATATGAAAACCCCCCCTTTCCCCCAAACTTTTTGAATCCCCCTTTTAGCATTAACCATCAAACTCAATTGCAGTCTTTCCTTTGTAGTATGGAACCTTGTAGTTTAATTTTAGAGAGATCCATACACTTAATCACAAGTTACTGTCTGGAAACTAGAAAAATGCTTTTTTTTAACCATAAAAGCCCATTTAAGGTAGATGGGGTGTCTAAATTATAATCCATAGAATTTTTTAATAATTTGCCAAAATGTAGTTTATATCATGTTTTTTAAAAAATAATAAAAAAAAAAATGGGTCACGGTGCTTATTTTCACGCTACAGGTTGTGCAAAATTGACAGATTTTGTATAGATTATGCATGGAAAATCCATTTTTCTGCCATAAAATGAAAACTACACCATAGAATTTTGAGATAAAATATGAGAAGATAGCTCTAATATTATGCTTTCAGATAAGAAAAAGAAATAAAATGCTCCGCAGGGCGCAGCTTGATACGACCGCAGAGGTCGAACCCTGAACAGTTGGGGCAAGTATGGACACAACATTCAAGCTTGATACAGCTCTGAATTTGGATTGTGATTAAATATTTGACACAGCATAGGTTTCTGACACAGAATGAATGTGGTCTAAGAACTTAAAAATTTTAAATTGGACATTCACCTATTATGGTCCAATATCCAAAATCTAAATACATGGTTAGATTCAGCATATCAAAGAACCCCAAGAATTAAATTTTTGATGAAATCAAACAAAGTTTAATTTTGGACCCTTTTGACCTCAATGTAGACAAAGTTGATAACGGGGCCCAAAAATCAAAAATCTAAATACATGGTTAGATTCAGCATATCAAAGAACCCCATATATTCAATTTTTGTTGAAATCAAACAAAGTTTAATTTTGGACCCCGATTTGGACCAACTTGAAAACTGGGCCCATAATCAAAAATCTAAATACATGTTTAGATTCAGCATATCAAAGAACCCTAAAAATTCAATTTTTGTTAAAATCAAACTTAGTTTAATTTTGGACCCTTTGGACCTTAATGTAGACAATTTGAAAACGCAACCAAAAATTAAGAATCTAAATACACATTAGATTCGGCATATCAAAGAACCCCAATAATTCAATTTTTTGATGAAATCAAACAAAGTTAAATTTTGGACCCTTTGGACCTCAATGTGGACCAATTTAAAAACGGGGCCCAAAATCCAAAAACTAAATACACGGTTAGATTCAGCATATTTAAGAACCCCAAGAATTCAAGAATAAAACCCCATTGAAATTGATCAAGAAATAAGCAATTTATACGAAGTATCTTCTTTTGCACAATACTGTGCAATTGAATATTTCTTGCTATTGTGCAATACTGTACAATTGACAATTTCTTGCTATTGCGCAATATTGTGCTATTGGATATTTCTTGCTATTGCGCAATACTGTGCAATTGAAGATTTCTTGCTATTGCGCAATACTGTGCAATTGAAGATTCTTGCTATTGTGCAATACTGTGCAATTGAAAATTTCTTGCTATTGCACAATACTTATTATATAATAATTTACACATCCTGTTTGGTGTGTATCTCCTACCATATCATTATTATTTGCTTTTAAATATTAATCAGAAATAACCAACTTAAAATGGAAAATTTTAAAAGAAAAAAAAAAGGAAAAAAAGAAAAAAAAAAATCCCCCCCCCAAATTTTTTGAACCCCCTTATGATTCAATACCCCGAAACTCAATCCCAGCCTTCCCTTTGTGGTATGGTACCTTGCAGTACAATTTCAGAGAGATCCATACTCTTGAACACAAGTTATTGTCTGGAAACTAGAAAAATGCTTATTTTTGGCCCCTTTTTGGCCCCCAATTCCTAAACGTTTCGGGTAATTACCCCCAAACTCAATTCCAGCTTTCCCTTTGTGATATGGAACCTTGTAGTACAATTTCAGAAATTTCCAAACACTTACACACAAGTTATTGTCATGAAACTAGAAAAATGCTTGTTTTTTGCCCCTTTTTTGGCCCCTAATTCCTAAAATTTTGAGGCAATTACCCCCAAAATCAATTACAGCCTTCCCTTTGTGATATGGAACCTTGTGGTACAATGTCAGAGAGATCCATACACTTACACACAAGTTATTGTCTGGAAGTTACAAAAATGCTTATTTTTGGCCCCTTTTTGGCCCCTAATTCCTTAACTGTTGGTACCATAACCCCCAAAATCAATCCCAACCTTCCTTTTGTGGTATTGAACCTTATGGTGAAATTTCATGGAGATCCATTCACTTAAACTAAAGTTAGAGTGCGAAAACCAATGTGTCTTCGGACGACGCCAGACGACGACGACGACGCCAACGTCATACCAATATACGACCAAAAAATTTTTAATTTTTGCGGTCGTATAAAAATGGGGTCACGGGACCCTTTTTCTTGCTACATAATAAAATAGGTTAATTCCTAACACATTCTATAGTAAAAGTAACTTTATCTCAATTATCTGCCCTTACATTTGAGTTGCCTCCCCCTTATGTGGCAAAGTTGGAAAAAATTGAATCAAACAAAAAGTATATTGTTTTTTGTAAAATACAACCACAAATATGATAAAACATGTCATTTCCTATATTGAAATGAAAATTCTTACACATGAATTATCCACTACTCTCAAAATTTGCACATTTTCTTAAAGATCTAGACCGATTGTTTTCTGGTATTTCAAAATCCAAGATGGAGGAAGACACCCTATCTACCTTAAATACATCATAAAAGTATTAAAATAGAAAATGACATCATAGTCATGGCTAAAATTAAAAAACCTTCATCAGCAACTTTTAATAGTAATATCTAAAAATAAATTTCCTTCATCAGCATTTTAAAGTAACTTCTAAAAATAAATTGACAGCTAGGACTTTGCAACCATAAAAACCCATTTAAATACATCATAAAAGTATTAAAATAGAAAATGACATCATAATCATGCCAAAAATTAAAACACTTTCATCAGCAACATTAAATAGTAATATCTAAAAATAAAATTCCTTCACATACATAATCATGGCTAAAATTAAATAATTTTTAAAATAGAAAACGACATCATAATCATGCCTAAAATTAATAAATTGCTTCGCAGAGCGCAGCTGGATATGACCGCAGAGGTCCAACCCTGAACAGTTGGAGCAAAAATAGACACAACATTCGCGCTTGATACAGGTCTGAATTTGGATTGTAATTCAATATTTTACACATAATAGGTTTCTGACACAGAATGACTGTAGTCAAAAAACTTAGAATTGGTTATATGATTTGAATTTATATTCAATTTTTTGCTTTTGTGCAATACACTATGCTGTTGCGAATTGACCTCCCCCCCCCCCCCTTTTTTTCAAAAAAAAAATAAAAATTTGAAGGATTTTCTTTTTGATTTCTGAAATCTTGAGGAGAAAAAATTGTCCCCCCCCCCCACCAATTTTTTTTTACTCCCCCCCCCCAATTTTTTTTAACCTACCCCCATTTTTCCAATCCCTCAGTCATGGTCATAATTTTAATTCAAATTTTCAATGGAGTTTGCAACCATAATAACCCATTTAAATACATCATAAAAGTCTTATTGATATTTTATAGTGTGTCTTTCTATGTTGTGATGTTATACTATTGTTTCAGAAAAAGGGAGAAGGTTTGGTACCATTTTTTTTAGATGTGTTTTAGTTGATTTTAGTCTCTGGTGCATGATTTTTTATTATTAATTGTTTTGGCTTTTAACTAGCTATCAGTAACTGCGAGTACTCTCAAATCGTACTTTCTTGTTTATTTGACCTGTTGATATTAATTGTATTGCTTTTTTGTTATTTAATGTTATTCAGGGTTATATCTGGTCTATATACCAGCTTTGATAAGTGTTTGGTATAACTATAAATTTTCACTTCGTACTATGAACATCAAAATTATTTATTTTGTAAAAATATTTCCTTTCTCTATTGGTACTGTACAGGTATACCTAACAACAAAATTATTTTCATTTACCTGTGTTTAAAGTTATTGCAAATGGATGGTATTTTTGTTCGAGCATATTGTTTTTCTTTAATTGTTTAACATTTCTTACCGATATAACATGTTACTTTTATTATTCTTCCCTTAGTTTATTTATTTTGTATTTACATTGTGTCATAGGTCAAATTTATTTGTTCAGTGTATGTTCAATGGTGTTAATATGTCCTTTGATTGAGTTAAGCTATTTCAGTTGATATTTTATAGTGTGTCTTTCTATGTTGTGATGTTACACTATTGTTTCAGAAAAAGAGTGAAGGTTTGGTACCATTAAAACGTTTAAACCCGCTGCATTTGTTTGCACCTGTCCTAAGTCAGGAATCTGATGTTCAGTAGTTGTCGTTTGTTGATGTGGTTCATAAGTGTTTCTAGTTTCTCGTTTTTTATATAGATTAGACCGTTGGTTTTCCCGTTTG